CTCTACCACTGAGCCACCTTCCCAGCCCCTTCTCCTCATCTCTTATGTACACATAATTTTGCATGGGTGTGTATGGGGGGGTCACAGCTCAAGCACTGTTTTTGTGTTTTGTTTTTTTGTTTTTGCCAATCCTGGGGCTTGAACTTGGGGCCTGGGCACTGTCCCTGAGCCTCTTTGTGCTCAAGGCCAGTAGTGCTCTACCACTTGAGCCACAGTGCCACTTCCATTGTTTTCTGAGTATGTTATTGGGAGTTAAGAGTCTCATGGACTTTTCTCCTCAGCCCCTCTTTGCTAGCTTCAAGCTGTGATCCTCAGATCTCCGCCTCCTGAGTAGCTAGGATTGATTACAGACAGGTATGAACCTTGGGCACCAGCGACAAATTTATTTACTTTGTGTGTGTGTGTGCATACATTAGTAGTGATTCTTGAAATCTGGGCCTGAAGCTCTAGCTTGGCTTTTTTGCTCATGGCTGGCATTTTACCACTTGAATCATATGTGCCTCTGGTCCCAGCTTGTTTTTGTTGGTTAATTGGAGCTAAGAGTCTCTCAGGTTTATCTGGCTGGGCTGGCTTTGAACTATTATAGATGTCCAGGGTTAGCCTGGTTTTTTTGTGTGTGTTTGTTGTTGTCATTCCAAGACTTGGACTCAAACTCAGTACCTGATGCTTTGCTCACTGGCTGACACTCTACCTACTGACTCCAACCCCTCCTCCTCCTCCTCTTCTTCTTCTTTTTTTTGGGTCCAGTCGTGGGCCTGAACTCTGAGCCTGGGCACTGTCCCTCAGCTCTTCAGCTCAAGGCTAGCGCTCTACCACTTGAGCCACAATTCCACTTCTGGCTTTTTTTTTTTTTTTGCTTATGTGGTGCTGAGGAATCGAACCCAGGGCCTCATGCATGCAAGGCAAGTGCTCTACCACTGAGCCACCTTCCCAGCTCTTCTTCTTCTGCTTCTTCTTCTTCTGCTTCTGCTTCTATATAAAAGTATGTCTAAATATTTCTCTCTTTTTCTTTTTCACTCACAGATTTTTATTCTTGGAGGGAGTCATTTAATTATTTTATTTTGGGGATGCCATTAATTTTTAAAAGTTGGGTCATATTATATATATGTTTCTGCATCTTACTTTCTTCTTTTAATGTAAGTACATGTAGAAATACAATGTTCCTGTAAGGGAACAAGTCTCACTCATTCAGAGTGTGTGTGTGTGTGCGCGTGTGCGCGCGCGTGCATGTGCACATACATGCACATGCATTTCTGAGGATCCAATAAAGGGCTTTCCATATGCTTTACTATACCCCTGAGTTACACTGTCAGCCCTAACTTATTCTTTTAAATGGCCATATAATATTCTACTCCCGCCTTGAATGGGTGTTCAGTAAGTTTCCAGGTCTTGCCACTACCTATAATAAACATGCCTTTGTGCCTATCGTGATGATGGATGTTTTTATTTCTTTGGTGGTTTTTCTGAGAATGGGGTTATTGGGGAAAAGGTATTTTAAAAAATTTTAATAGATACTATCAGATTGCTTCTCCAAAATGCCATCTCACACACACACACACACACACACACACACACAGAGAAGGATTTAAACTCAGCTTTGCCTCTGCTAGGCAGACTTCCTACCACTTGGGCCATACCACTAGCCCATTTTTTATTTTGTTATTTCTGAGATAATACCTTACTTCCCCCCCCCCCCCCCCCCCCCCCCCCCCCCCGCCCCCCCCCCCCCGACCAGCCTGGAGTTTGATCCTTGTGTTTTAGCTGAGCTGACAGGCATGCACCACCACGCCCTGGTTTTTCTGTAGAGATGGGTCTCTAGGATTTTTTTGCTGGTAGGTGTGAGCCAGAATGTCCTGTGATACTCACATTTCTGTCAAGGATGTGTGAGGTTTTTATTTTTCTGCATCCCCAGCAGCAGCAGGTGTGATTCTGTTTGTAAATTTGGTAATCTCATAGGTGAGAAGTGACCTCATTGTTTTTTAATTTGCAGTTCTCTGCTGGGCACCGTGTGCTAATTGGTTTATTGACTGTATTTGCTCTTTCTTAGAATCACTTCTCCACAATTAATTTGTTGCTATTAAATTGTCTTTTCTTATCAATTGTAATCTTTTAAATCTAAAGTTTAAAGTTCCTTTGAACTTACCATTGTACTTTGGCTTTTTAAGACTACTCTAAAAAAAAAACTTTTTTTTTTTTTTTTCCAGTCATGGGGTTTGAACTCAGGGTCTGGGCACTGTCGCTGAGCTTCTTTTGCTCAAGGCTAGTTAGTACTCTACCACCTGAGCCACAGTGCCATTTCTAGCTTTTTCTATTTATGTGAAACTGAGGAATTGAACCCAGGGCTTCATACCCATGGTAGGCAAGCACTCTACAACTAAGCCACATTCCCAGCCTCTAAATTTTTGTTTTTGTTTTTGTCTGTTGTGGGGCTTAAACTTTGGGCCTGGGCACTGTCCCTGAGCTCTTCAATTTAAGGCTAGCACTCTACCACATGAGCCACAGCATCACTTCCGGTTTTCTGGTGGTTAATTGGAGATAAGAGTTTCATGGACTTTCCTGCCTAGGCTGGCTTTGAATGTCAATCCTCAGATCTCAGCCTCCTGAGTAGCTAAGATTACAGGTGTGAGCCACTGG